CATATATATATATAGTATATACACACACACACATATATATGTAATACCTCCTTTGTGTATCAAAAAGGTGCTAAACGCTCTGTTCAGCTGAGCGTTCTCCAGCAGACGTAGAAGCCTCTCAGGAGGAGCTCTCTCCCATCGTCTCCTCTGCCTGACGTCTTCTGGATCATCTGACACACCTGAAAAAGCAGGGACAGACCATTCAGACCACGCCCTTTCTTTTACAAAGTCTCGTTTTATTCATGTCAGGAAATTAAAACGCTGCTGCTATCATACTTCCTTGGAGGGAGCCAGTGTGTTGGACTGATGCCACGCTGTCTGATGAAACCAGGCTGGCACCGGCTAACATCTGCAGCACGGCGTCTGGCGGCTCGGACGCCCACTGCTTTCGAGGCCCCGGCTCTGTGCTTTCATAGGAGCTTCTGGGTAAATCTACACCTGCAGAGGTACAATTGGGTTTTGGAAGCATTTTGCTTATTTTCTTAAAAATAAAAATAATTTTGACAACATTGTTGACCTTGACTCTACCTTCAGAGGTCGACGTTATTAAACTCTTTTCTCCCAGGATACTAGCCACTTTCCTTCCCTCTGTTTTGTTCCATTGGAAACGCCTCCTCTCCTCCTCCGTCTAAAAAAGATTCAAAGCAGTGCTGTGAATTAAAAAACTGTTGTTTGAAGCAGTGAAATCTTGACTGATTGAACAAGTGTTTACCTGTGAGGGTATATACGAATGCAGGAGCCTGGACACCCGGTGAGAGGTCAGGATCGTGTGCACGGATGGCCTATCTTTTGGGTTCGTCTTGAACATTTGCTTGATCAAGTACTGCAGCTCATAAGGCAGGTGGCTGGGGAGGGGAGGGTAGGCACCACGACACACCTTCAGAATCAGGCTCTTCCAGCTAGACGCCTGGAACTGGACGCAGGAAATGAAATGTGAAGGTCTCGGAAAGGACAAACCGAACCGCAGCATGTGAAGCACAGCAGATAATCTGGTCCAACTGACGCCTCAGGACCGCCATCATTCCATCACAATGACTTGCTGTGCTTCAAAATGACAGCTGAAATATTTTACACAATGCTACACTGACAACACTTGACAGATTCCAGTCACTAGAGTTAGTCATGGAGTTCCTCAGATGCTTGAAACAACTGTATGCATCCATTCAGCAGAATTAAATACATTTTAAATAAATTGTTATGCCGATGATTCTTAGTTATATTTATACACACAGCCTAATTAATCCAATCATAAAAACCTGTTTGTTTGTAACTATTTTACTTTTAAACTCGAATAGCACAGAGGTTATGGGTTTTGATCTGCATATCAGCTTTTTACACACTCTGAATGGCACTAAGTGGACCTCCAGGACAAGAACAGTGGTGTGATCTTTTTAATGGGACGTCTTTTAATCTCCACATAGAAAATGTCACCAGGATCTTCTTTTTAATTTCAATGTCGCTTAAATTTTAACAACTTGTCCTAAACATTATGCTGAAAAATTGGTCCCTGTTTTTATCACTCCTAGGTTAAACTATATTAATTCTTTATTAATCATTTGTTGGAAAAACTCTTTTTAAAACGTCTTCAGTTGATCCAAAATGCTGCTGCCAGGGTTCAGAGAGTTGGTAGGAGATCGTATCTCCAGTTTTAGATTCTCTCTATTGGTTCCCCGTCAAATTTAGAATACATTTTAAACTCTTACTTCTAACCTACAAAGCTCTCAACAACCTAGCTCCATCTTACATTACTGATCTTATTGTTCTACATTCTTCAAACAGAGCACTTCACTCTCAGACTGCAGGTTTACTTGTGGTTCCTAGAGTCATCAGGCTCCTGTGGAACCAAGTGTCAGTTTCTGTCCATGAGGCTGACACTGTCTGCTTTTAAGAGTAGGCTTCTTTTTGATAAATCCTATAGTTAGGGTTGGCTTGGGTTTCTTAGTTATGCTTCTATAGATTGACTGCTGGTGGATAAACTGTCCACATTATCTTCCTCTGCTGCTGTCTTTACTCTCTCCGTTTTCTCTATGTATTTGTAATTATTGCTGCTAATAACCGTTATTTGTCCTTAGATGGCCACTCATCCTGAGCCCGGCTCTGCTGGAGGTTTCTTCTTGTTAAAAGGGAGTCATTCCTTTCCACTGTCGCCAATGTGCTGCTCAGGATGGAGGATTACAACAAAGTGAAGATGCAACAAAATTTGCTTCCTACATTGTATTGATCCGGACTTCTTTAAAATGCCCTGAGATGACTTTTGTTATGAATTGTGGTTGAACAAATAAACTGAATATCTGTAAACTGCTCCACGTTAAACCTGTGGTACAGTGGGCAGAGGCAGGGAGGAGGGGAAGTACCGGGTGTCGCAGGGTGCAGAGCTCGTAGAGGACGCAGCCCAGCGACCACACATCACTGCAGAACACACAAAGACAGAAGCAGTTATTCGTCGTGCACTGACCAAGTTAAAGAAGCACTAACTCATCAGAGCGGAGCTACCTCAGACTGAAACTCTCCACACGGCTCATGGATTTATTAACATGGATTTATTAACATTCAGACAATCAGAAGTGAAGAGATGGTCACAGAGGAGCAAAGAGTCTGAAGCTCTAAAAAAAAAGTTTGAAGTAAAGTTTATAACTGTGCAATGACACGACCTCACCTCCCTAATTTAGCATTCTGTAACAAATGTAAATAAAATGTTTTATTTGTCCCAACAAGACATTTAGGCTGAAGGCAACAACACGAGAAAGATGGAAAATCTGCACAGACACACAGGCCCTGGCTGGTAACAGGACTGGTTTCTAAAGTATTACTGTAAAAACATTCAGGATTTAGAAATGCAATAAACAAGTTGATTTTTTATATATATTAAAAAACAAACAGATGTTATTAATTAATAAAAAGTAGTGTAATGACTTAAGACTATGTGATCACGTTGTTTGGGTATAATTGGAGTATAGACACAGTTTGTATCAATCAACCAAGCCCAACCATCCATCCATCCACCCACTCATCCATCCACCCATCCACCAACCCACTCATCCATCCATCCATCCACCCACCCATCTATCCATCCATCCATCCATCCATCCATCCATCATCCTCTCATCCTTCCAT